CCTTCTGCTACGCCCTCGGTATCCTTCGCCTTCTTCCTACCTTCCTCCTTTTTATTCATTTCCCGTAATAATTATGAGTGTGCTGTGCTAATCATTTCAATTCATGTTCTCCTGCGCTCGCTTTAATTAATATTTGATTCTCATTGAGTTTCACATCGTTTTTGCCATATCACATCAGCATCTTCCTTGTATTTATTCTTATTCCGTTACCTGCAACGTTTCCGGTGTCGGCACTAGGATCAGGTGTCGCTTTTCTGATCTTGAAAGATACTGCTTATTTCTGCCCATCTGAATCATGCCTTTCTAGAATTGCTTCTTAATTCGCAGTAGATTCCCTTATTACCTTGCATGGCAGAACCAGGCTACTTGAAAGCTAAGTTTTAGGTAGCAGGTAATTCTAAACCTCAATCGATTTGTTGACACTGTTTCTGTTTTGCACAAGGAAACAATCTGGTACAATTTTTCAACGAACTGCTCTCAGTACTGCGGCATTCACTAGCCAAATGGTCTGCACTCTGAAGGTAATCAAGTAGCGTATTTGTGGCCATCGAGTACAGAAATGTGTTCAGTGCTGCTGGATCTATAACTGAGGATGCCACCCGTTTAATTCATCTCAGCACTTCGACCTATAGTTAATTCTGGCCTAAAACTGTGCTACGTCTTATAATGAATTAAATTACTCCGCAAGAGGTTGCCAGTAACTCCAATTTTATATAATAATTGTAGGCGTTTATGTACAAATATAATTTATCAGAATCTGGTGATATTCCGCTGTCTAATCCTTACGTTAATCTATTGAACTGTTCTCGTTTTACTAAACGGGTTATGGGCATCGAATGGTTAAAGATACAAGTAGCAAATTGACGCTTTAAGTCCGTATTTGATATCTGCGTCTGCGACAGGTGAAAAGGTCTAACTTCAAAGGACGGGAAGCAAATCTGTTTTAAGGTCAACATATTCACACGAGATTGGACGCTGGCCTACTTCGCTCAAATTGTTTGGCTCACCGTCAAAATTGGGTACGAATAGCTCTGTGACAAGATTCTTTCATTCTATTACAGACATAGTGCGAGGCGACAAAGTCAGCAAGGAGGCTAACTTCGAACTTCAGAGGTGCCGCACCCCAAACCCGAGAATGGACAAAACATAATCTAGCCCTCAGTTTTTCTCACCACGTGTGGACACGTGTAAAACCAGGGGCCTACTGTGTTCCCGTTCTCTTACCCGCTGAGCTGTACAGATAAATGATGAAGCA